GAATTAAGGTCCTACCTCGGCATGGTAACGTACTACCACAAGTTTCTTCCCAATGCATCGACCGCCATGGCACCCCTATATCAACTACTCCGGAAGGAAGCTAAGTGGAAGTGGGATACCGCTCAACAGCAGTCATTCAGCAGTGTGAAAGACCTTCTGAAATCCGCAGACTTTCTGGCGCATTTTGACCCACACAAGCCGCTAGTCCTGGAATGCGATGCCTCCCCGGACGGAATAGGCGCAGTGCTTTCACACGATGTCGGGGGCGGAGTACTTCGGCCCATAGGGTTCCGCTCTCGGTTATTGACTGGAGCTGAGAAAAATTACTCGCAGCTGGAGCGTGAAGCCTTGGCACTTGTGTTTGGTGCGTCGAAATTCCGACAATACTTGCTCGGCAATACTTTCACATTGATGACGGACCATAAGCCGCTTGTTGCACTTTTTCACCCAGACAGGCCAGTGCCCGTGATGGCCGCTGCGCGAATCCAGCGGTGGGCCCTGCTGCTGAGCGCCTACGATTACGTCATCAAACACCAGCCCGGGAAAGACAACATTCCAGCCGATGCCCTCAGCCGACTCCCCACGTCAGCAACTTCCCAGCCAGAGACGCAGGAAGAAACTGGGGACGGTGAGTATGTCCTGCTCACGGAGACCCTCAATGATGGTGTCATGTCTGCGAAGCAACTGGGCACTCTCACGGAGCTTGATGACGATTTAGCAAAGGTGCAAAAATGGGTGCAGGAGGGATGGCCAAGAAATTTGGGGCCTAAGGACCAGCACTTGATGCCATACTTCAACCGGAAAGCTGAGATAACGGGGAGTTATGGGCTTCTATACTGGGGCCATCGAGTGATCGTCCCTAAGAGTGCCCGAGCAGTGATGTTACGTCTGCTGCATGATACTCATCAAGGGATTTGCTCAATGAAGCGGCTAGGGCGCTCCTTGATGTGGTACCCCCGGATCGATAATGACATTGAGCACATGGTTAAGTCCTGCACCAGTTGCATCCAAGCTGCCCCTATGCCCCCAAAGAAAGCCCCTGTTGCGTGGCCAGAAACGGATGAGCGTTGGTCGAGGCTGCATATCGATTTTGCGGGGCCGATCGATGGTCACATGCTACTGATTGTGGTGGATTCACATAGTAAGTGGATAGAAGCGATACCCATGAAGAGTTCCACCACACACACCACCATAGAGGCTCTGCGCACCTTGTTCAGTACATTCGGGTTGCCCCGGACGCTGGTATCCGATAATGGCCCACAGTTTACGAGTTGGGAATTTAACACCTTCACGAAGCTGAATAACATAGTACACCTCCGAACAGCACCGTATCACCCCCAGTCCAATGGGCTCGCGGAGCGGGCGGTTCGTACGGTGAAGTATTCATTGAAGAAGAATGTACAAGGGTAACTGAAAACCCGCCTGGCTAGGATTTTGCACAGGTACCGCAGGACGCCGCAGGCCGGGGGCCGGACACCAGCGCAACTCCTAATGGGCTACGATCTTCGCTCCAGGCTGGACAACGCAGTGTCCATTCCGCCCTCACCAGTTGACCGTCCCCCCCTCGATGGGTGGCAGCCCGGGGAGCCAGTCTGGGTGAGGAACTTCGGGCGAGGCGAGCCGTGGACTCCAGCCAGCATTACATCGACAGACGGAGCCCGCCTGGTGAATGCCGATGGTCCGGAGGGGGAAACCATTAGGCGCCACAGCGACCAGGTGAAGCCACGGGAGTTGGAGCATGACCAGGGAGAAGTCGGTGACTCTCGGTGCCTCGAAACTGCCGGCGGGGCCCTAGCAGGAGGAACACCGAGGCGAGCGCCAACAAGGAGCGAGATCGCCGGGAGCCCCTCAACTCCGGTGTTGCGTCGCTCGGGCCGGCAACGCAAACCCCCAGACCGTTACTCACCGTAGGGGGAGCGGAATGATGTATCCGTGACGTCACGCCAGCCGAAGCCGCCGTTATCACCACTGCTTCTTCTCCTTCCCTTCCCCTTAACCCCTCTCGCACAACGCTACTTTAACCCGCGCTATCGCAATAAAGCTTTTGTCTTGGCCCAGCCACGGCCCTGGCGTGTTCGTTTCATCTAAGACACCTAAAAATTGTGATCTCAGGTTTGTCTTGTGATATTTGACTTCTTTTCATGATTTACTCCTTTTCATGATTTACAAAGAACAAGTATGGATTTCAAACTAAGTTCTTTGTATGAAGGAGTGGTGTGATAGGTATGACAGAAAAGATTGTAATTGAATAAAACCATATACTGAAATTATTACACATACTTTTTTGTGTTGAAGTTGTAATTAGCGTAATGAAGTACTTGATTACGAATATTCACTGAATTTTTCTTTATTTGGAGAGAGCTTTATTGCATGATAAAAATGGATCACACCATGACGGGCTATGCCTTCTTTCTAAATAACAAAGTTATGGGCAGAAGACTGGTGGCACGGGAATTTCTAGCAGTATAATTAATGACACGAAACGGACATATAAAAATTCGTGCCCCTGATTCATACATGCTCTTTCGCCGCTCTAGCCGTGAAACGCATCAACATACAGCCGGTCGCGGAAACTCTAATCTACAGCAATTCATTAACCTTCGGAACATTCATAGACATTCGTGGCAATATCATGCACGGCTCGAAGCACATCTGAATCGCATCACAAAAGCTTATTGACAGCACTCCATATGACCGTGGGGTGCGCGGCCGCGTGAACAGTGCAGCCGGCGCGTAATGCACTTGCCGGCGGCGTTCGATGACGATGCCTGAAATGTGTAACTACGAAGACAGAAAATCGGCACGCGCTGCACTTGGCATCGCATTTTCGAATGGCGACGCGCGAAACTGCTAGCCGCTGTTTCGAGCGATTCTTGGCAGTGAAAAGGGGTGGGGGTGACGAGCTTGACTGTGTTGTCCGCTGCCGATGCGTAAAATGCCCGTACGTGATTCAGAGGAGCTAGCGAGTGATGTGGTACATTCCTTGCGAAGAAGCACGTCGCCAAGAGTGCGCTTGCACGTCGTTCCTGACCGCAGTCTCGCTGTCAGCGGAGTTAGGCCTAAAGCCGACTCCGATGACGCGCCGCACTTGTAGACCGCCGCCCGCCCGCTCATAGTAATATGATCGTGCATCCGGTGCGGCCACTCGTAGTAATCAGATCGTGCCGCCGCTTACAGCTTCGTTGCTTGCGAAGAAGCACGTCGCCACGAATGCTGCTAGCGCGTCGCTCCTGCTCGCAGTCTCGCTGTCGGCGGAGTGAGGGCTAAAAACGACTCGGATGACGCGCAGCGCTCGTAGTAACCTGACCGTGCATTCGCTTATTGCTCGTAACTAAAGCGTAGTTATATCTTAAGTGATTATCAAGCCGTGAACACGCCACGAAGTGGCGATTTTCGAGAGCCATGTTCTCGCGACGCACAAGCAGCAGACGACGATCTGCCGGAGCGAGCATTGGGCCAATGGCGAGGCGAGCTGAGGCAACATGGCGGCCACGACCAATCAAGGGCCTCAAAACGACCTTCAAACATTTGCTCTTTGCTCGCTTGTTGTTAAAGGGAGGAGCCAGCTGAGGCAGGAAAGTTAAATACGGAGAAATGCTCGTTCTGATGAACCCAAGAAGTCGGCTACCGGCCCAAGCATCGCGAAGCTATAATTTTTTGAAAATCGCCGTCTTGCCATTTCCAGAAAAAGTTTTGCTACCTAGGTGGGTGAAACGAATTTTCCGAAGCACTTCTGCGCGGTTTTCAGTGTAGATATTTAGGAACCAGATAGAAAAAGGGTTCCAGAAACTGAAAACTTGAGTTTCAAAAAATCGATTTTTTTGCCATTTTTCGTGATCCCAAAGCCGCGTCTCCCCCTTAAGTGATTATCAAGCCGTGAACACGTCAGGAAGTGGCGATTTTCGAGAGCCATGTCCTCGCGACACACAAGCAGCAGACGACGGTTTAGACGATGTTGATTTGGTGCAGCTACACACAAGCAGCAGACGACGGTTTAGACGATGTTGATTTGGTGCAGCTCAGTTTGAGCATGAAAAAAATACGCTATACAGTCAAGAAAGGGAAAAACAGATGACAGTATGAGCGCTAGCTTCCAACTCTTGTTTATTGCGTACCTTTACAACACATTGTATAGCTCATTCACGTGACGCTGCACACATGACAAAGCCGGGAATGTGTGGCGCAGTACACATTACCAAGGAAACGTAGTTGTAATCTCATCTCAAATTAACAATCCTATATCAACGTTTCATAGCACACGCTCCAGAAAATTGACATTTTTTTTTCAGATAAAACCAGTTTTCATTTTTTTTCGCTCGGAGCCTGAGAAAAGGTGGCAGTGTCATGGCTGCTATCCTCCTGAGGCTGGCTTTTGTTCTTGCGTGCAGGCTTTGGCTGTGCCTGTTGCTGCTGTGTGGGCACCGATGTCGATGCCAAGGTTGCCGGGGCAGCTCCATGCTGCTGCACTTTCTTTTTCTGGCCTCTCACAGTTGCTTTCCGCAGGTGGCCTCTCACAGGCACGCAGCCCGCTCGAAAGTGTGTGGAGCTATCACAAACAAAAGGACGGGAGCGCAAATAACTTGTGTTCTACTCAGCTGACGTCTCACTCGGTTCTGTTGGTGCCTGTTAATACATTCTTCATAGCTTACATACGTATCGAACCCCCTTGGTTGAAAATTGGCTCGTGACAACCATATTTAATTACGTTGCTGCCTAGTGGGCCTTCGACGGGGACTGCAAAAAAGCTTGTATCACTCCAAAATTTGTGTGAGCCACAACAATATCACTGGGGTTTTATTGTACACTGGTGTGTTTTCATTGTGCTCCCGTTACCGTCCAGAATGTGTCTTGCTGTTGTATTCGCTGAATGTATTGGTGATACAGATATGAAAGGGAATGATTTGCTCAGAATGGCCACAGGTTTGCCCAAGCAATCGTTTCGGTCATTCGGGTCTCGCAGCCTGTTTCTGAAGTCTGCCATCATTCATTCTTCTGAGCAGCCTGCAGGTGAGACCGACCAGGCTGCAGCGATGAAGGAAGCCAGTGGGCCCAACAGCCGGCCTGGGTCTCCGTGCGCCGTTACAGCAATGACTGGTGCAGCCGTGCTCGCCAATGGCAGTGGAGGGGGCCCTGTTGGGGCTGGCAACCCTCCTCCGCTTCTGCGACCACCACCCGGTTCTCCATCGTCCCAGCCACTGACTGTCCTTAAGGGACCCACCCAGCTTGCACAGGCTGCTCCCAGGTGAGCCGCAGAACCCTTCACAAAAGCAGCAGTTGGCATGTTCAGAGTGAAACTTTTTTATGTTAGCCAAGGTGTTAATAAACTTAGTCTGCTGTAAAGTGCACCCAAACTTGTACATGCAACATCGAACATTCGCGCTGTATCAGTGTTGCTTGCATACTGTATCTGCTCGTGCAATGCACACACACATAATAAATACACCGCCAACCCCAGTCGTAAAATTTTTTTTCCTTCCGCATAATAAATGCGCCCCCATTTATTAGCTGCAGTCCCGCAAATCGAAAAGTGACACCTCTTCGCTCGTTGATCTTTTTCGGTATTGTGTTTTCCCCCCCCCCTCTCGCCCTCAGCCACACGCAGTTCTTTGTTTTGCTTTGTGTCTGTGTGCAGGATGTTGTTGTGCGCCACAGTGAAATTCACGAGCAGTGCAAGATTTAAAGACATCACAGTTCACAAGCGCACAAGCGTAGGTCACGAAACTGCTCGTGCCAACCGACAGTCATTTCCTGCAAATGCAAAACTTAAGGCGCAAACACATGTACACAATTTCCAAGCGACAGCTACAGGATAAGCTATTGTGAAGTGCCCTCCGTCACTGTCTCAACGCAGGCATGTCACAGGTTTTTGGAAAACCCAGGGAAAAAATTCTCTTTTTGCCCAGCAAAAGAAAGTGACGATTTCGCCTCCCGTGATCTTCGCTTTGGTTGCGATTTGCTTTTCATGCTTGTTATCCGCACACACGGTGAGGAACACATGATATAGGCTGCCTTTTTTCAGTGACGTCGAACGCGGAAAGTGAGGCAGCGGCCGTATTCTGTCATTAATTTTGTTATCAATGGTTTGTTTTGGCGCTTTCATGGTAAAGTCTAATCTCGATAATACGAACTCGAAGGGGCCCGAAAATTTGTCCCAAAAAAAAGGGAAGTTTTAATTAATGAAAGCTAAATAGACCGAGGGCTCTCTATGCAGTGGCGCATGTGCATTGAGCTAACTCACGAAGGGGAAGTTTCAGAAGACTTACACATTTATTCATAAATCACAGGACATTCATTATTAAGAAGTAATTGGCGATGCACGTCTGCACACGTTTGCCTTGCAGTTAGTCAATCGATTTCGCACGCAACTTGCAAAGCATTTCTACTTCGGCTTCAGCATTCTCCTGGCAGGAAAAGTTGTGCGTAGAAATGTCCAGCGTCGACACAGATGTTCAGCGCAGACGACGACCACAGCTGCGCAGCGGAGCTTCTCCTCTACGCAGCCGCAGCATGGCCAACGCATAACAAGAAAGGAGGAGTGTCTCCACGCGGAGAGAGGCAGATCGGCATCTGGAGAAAACCGAAACTCCACGGCAGCTTTTTTTCTTTCTTTTTTTTTTCTGTTCTCTTCGCATGCGTCGTTGAAAGGAGATGAGTTACGTGGCAGGGACGGGAAAGGAGAAAGCTTGGCACCGGCGCGTGCGCTTGAGGACGGCGCAAGCTTGAGTGAAACACTTCACGGAGGCGCTGCGCCGTGTTTCCTATAAAGCCTCTATACTTCGTAAAAGTGCCACCATCTGCTCTCCTCCTCGCCGCCTCCTCTCCGGCGCGTTGCTTCTTCTTTTTCGCTTGTGACAGTGGCGCCCCCTGTAACGTGCCATGAGCTTGCAGTTTGCTTTCAAGCATGTAGCATGCCACAGCTGTTCCTGTACAGCCGTGGCCATGTGCCGTGCCTCGCATAAGGCTTTATGTACGGTTTCTTCTGCGTTGATTTTCTCAGCAAGACTGGGTGCACTCACCAATATTTTGGCAGAAGAGCTGCTGCAAGTCATGTGCAAGTTCTAGCAAATTTCACGTTGTTCAAACTTCTTTTTGCAGAGTAGTGTTTCCTTGTGTATCTCACACTGATATACATAACTGGGTTTAATGAGAACAGGTTGAAATCAAATTCAGTAAATCCGGCACGCTAATTATTGAACTTGTGAGAAATATTCAAAATGCAGCTGCGGTGTCTTAGGCTATTCGGAAAGGAATAGTTCGCGTGTGTACAAATATCTCGATATTTTAGAACTGCAGCAATGTCAACAATGTCCATGAAAGTGCTCGCTCAGAACTTCGAGACGTTTCACATGCTACCTCTCTTCTGCCTGTCGAATGACTTGTGCACGCAGTACTCCATTCTGAAAAGTTTGTCCTCTGCGGCACAGTTAGCAACCATTGTCGTGAGGTTTTACATGTCTTCATGGGCGTTGCAGATAATGTAGGTGATAAAGATTGCTCTTGCACACGAAAACTATTTCGAATCGCTGGACAGCCAAGATGGTGCTGTGATGTAGAGGTTGAAAAACGCAGTCGTGTCATCACTGCCGAAATTACAATGTACTCTCTGAACTAAGCGGTTTTTTTGTTTTTTCTGCAAGTGCCAGTGGTTCATTTCATAAGGAGCACACGCGACGTGCACGTTGTTGCAGACACGGGCTGCGCTTGAGAACAGCCGCGATAATCATGAAATTGTAAACATTAACAACTTTTGAGAGAAATGGTCTCACACGTCCTGCACTTTGTATGCGGTGAACAAGCAACACAGTGCTGCTTTGGCGCATCCAACATGGCATCAAGTGGCACCGGGCTGCAGAAATTAGGCGCCTTTCTTCCTCTTTTCTTCTAACCACTACCGCCACAACTACCACTCCTCGACAACTTTTTTTTTCCTTCTCTCTCTCTTCGCGCGTGACGTTGAAAGGAGAAGGGTCTCTTCGTGGCAGGGACGGAAAAGGGAGAACCGTGGCGCAGGCGCATCCCAGATCGGCATTTGAGAGAAAGCAAACATTCCACCCCAGTCTTTCCTTTTCTTCTTTTCCTTCTTCGCGCGCAGTGTTGAGCTGTCGGAGGTTCTGCTGTGGGATTGGGGGCGGTGCTGTGAGCATTTTTGGAGCACAGTATGTTCGAATTAACCATTGCAAGTGCCTGCGCGTTCGAATCACAGGGCCTTCTCGCCCATTGAAATGCACATGGCTTTGATGGAACCACATCGTCAGTTCTAATTAACCAGTAGTTTGAATTAAGTATGTTTGAAATGATGAGATTTCACATTTCACACTTTAAAAATTCCAAAATTACCATGCTTGCCACGAGAACTCTCGGCAAGCAAGACAATGCGCAAAAAGCAAATTATGACGCTTTTTTACTAGGTGATCCATAGGTTTTAAAGGGCCACTCACCAGGTTTGACAATTTTGAGGTGACAAGCGCGATTCGTAGACGAGGCGTTCATAATCACGTCTTCCAAAATTTGCAGCGCTACGCGCCACGGAAATGGGTCAAATTTCAAGATGAACGCTGCTCCCTTTCCCCCCTGCCGGCGCATGCCTAGAGAATGAGGGCATGACGTGCGCATATGAATTGCCCTACGTACACGGCAATGCAGTGACGTTGGTCCTCTACGTAGACGACTCTGCTGTGACGTTGCAGACAGTGGCACGTAATATCGCGAAAATTATTTAACACAGCGTGCATAGTTTATGTAATTTGTTGCTTGAAAAGATCAATAGAACTCTAGATAAATAATAAGATGCAATAAGGGAATGTGGCATCTTTTTCCCTTTTTTCTGCCGTGAATTGCAATGAGATGCGGGGCTAATGTGTCGGTGTTTCGCATGCGTTTGTGTCCCCGCGGTCAGCGCATGGAGTATACGACCGCCGTGGAACGCTCCTACGCGATCGCGCACTCATTGTGCTCATCTATTCCACCGTGTCTAAGCCAGCGTTTCAAAGCATCCCGCAGAAACAACCAGAAGACCACAAAACAACGTTGGTCAACAAAGCATTGCCGCTCGCGTGCTCGGGGGTTGGACTTGTTTGGGCACGTCATGCGCACGTCATCTCTTGGTCGGATGCCGGAGAGGGTGGGGAAGAGATTCGGCTTGTGAAAGCTACGCGGAGGAGCGGCAAGGGTTTCGAGCTCGCCTCCTCTCATCCTAGTTTCGCGCCACTTCAAAAAAACCTGTTGTCTCCGCTTGTGATGAACCGATTCAAAAAAATTTTATGGCAAAATGTTCCTCATCCGACACCCAACAACTTCCACTGTTTAACTAAACTTTTATATGGGGCGTGGTGAGTAGCCCTTTAAGGGGGGGCGCGGCAAGTAAAGTGCCGATTTTGGTCAAAATATGCGATTTTCTGATTTATTTTTTTTCGTAATCTTCAGACCTTCAACTTCCTTGTTCTAAAATATTACAGCGAAACGTGCGCTGCAAATCCCGCAAATAGTGTTTTTGCCGAGGCCAGTCGCCGAAAAGTGCGAAAAAAAAGCCCCTGAAACGGTGTTGTTCACGCCGCACAAACGCGCCAAGTTGTTGACTGTGGGCCGCCATTTTGGTAGCTTTGGAAAGAGGAGAAAGCCGGCTTCCCGATGGTCGCGGTCTCGTATTTCGCCGAGTGAAAATAAAAGCGCGAAGAGCAAGTAAAAAAACGAAAACGAAGAACGGCAATTGGCTGCGCGGGTCACGTGGTAGCAGGCGCGACCTCTTACTGGTCAAAGCTGCGCCGCGCACCTTGGCAACCTTGGAAGCGCGAGCGCATCTGCGGCCGCCGTGTCGAGAATCATCCGGCGTGCGCTTCGTTTTTTGCCAGTTTGCTGTTTTTGTGATAGTTCGCGTGCTTTTTTTACCAAGCTTTGTTTACATCGGTGGTCTCTTCTGAGTGCTTGCTCATACTGCGGTGCTATGTTGTCGCAAAAAAAGTTCCGGAGCGTCCACAAGTACGGCAAGCGTCGGAAAGCTTGGAACAAAGGGCAGACGACTGCGGCTGCCGTCCCAGTCGCAGTTCCGGACGGAGCATGCTCTTCAAGCGTCACGGAGCCTCTACTCAGACCCTTCGCCGATTGTTGTGAGGCCGAGAGTGTGGAAGGTGCCACATCGTCGTATGTCAGACCGCCGGATGCCGTCGACCGTGACGGACGCTCTCGCGAACCCGATTGCGGTGGCACCGCGTCGGCAGCCGTTGCAACTCCGGGCGTGCGCGCGTC